ATCCAGTTGTCAGCGCTTCAGCCGGAGAAGTTTCTTTTACCTCCAAAGATGCTGCTGGCAGGAAATCTCATGTCCCGGTCAATGGTGTAGGAGAAAGGCCGGCCACCTCTTCTTTCAAGGAGACTGAAGCTGCTGTTGGTGCTGGGTAGAGCTCAGCAATGTTTGGCCCTGTTGCCAGCTCTTCTGCTGGAGGCTCACCAGGTTGTTTTTCCTCAGCAGAGAAGTCTATCAAATCCCCAGTCTCTGGAATGGCTAAATGTCCAGGGCACGGGCTGGTGGCCCTTGGGCCCAGTGCCAGCACTTTGGCAGGTGCCTCATCACCCATAACCATCATCCAGTGAAAAATCCATTAGATCCATACATCCTGGGATCTGTCATTGGAGGGATGAGCCGACTGCTCCATCTTCCATACCCTCATCCAGCTGTTGGACAGACGTATTCCTCCATCCAAGCTTGTCCCATGTAGAAACAGGATCGTCTAGGTAAGCCAGCACTTGCTGCATCCGCCAAAAGACCTCCGTTGCTATTGCTATGGGTGGTATCTGTCTCTCTCCTGCTATCACAACCTTGGAAAAAATGCAAAAATGATTAAGGCAGCAAAAGTGATAAAGGATAAGCCGGACACTCCCCTTCCCTGATGAGCAGCCAATCGGTGTTCATCACTTCAAGGTCTCCCCCCTCCCTGCTAGTCCCCAGGGGGAGGAGATATACAGTGCAATGTTAAAAAAAATTAAATGTTTAAGTCGCCATAAAACCCCTTTTGATTTTAACCACTTGCCCTCCAGAGGATTTCCCCCCCTTCCAGGCCATTGTTTGCGTTAATGCACTGCGTTATTTTAACTGACAGTTGCGCGGTCATGCAACGCCGCACCCAAATTAAATTTACGTCCTTTTTTTCCCACGAATTGAGCTTTCTTTCGGTGGTATTTGATCGCCTGTGCGTTTATTTTTCGTGCTATAAGCAAAAAAAGACTGCTAATTTTGAGAAAAAAAACCTATATTTTGGACTTTTTGGTATTAAACATGCCCAGTAAAAAATCTAATTTCATCATAAATTTAGGCCAAAATGTATTCTGCTCCATGTCTTTGCTACAAAAAAATCCCAGTACGTGTAAATTGGTTTACGTGAAAGTTATAGCGTTTACAGATGGCGGTATAGATCAGCAAATTTTAGTGGGACTACGGCGGGCATTCTGAAACTGGGGAGAACTGACATCCCCAGTGACACCAATACAGTGATCAGTGCTAAAAAACAGCACAGACACTGTACTAATGGCACTGGGCAGGAAGGGGTTAATGTGAGGGGAGATCAAAGGGTTAACTGTGTGCAGGGAGTGTTTTACTAGGGGTTGGGGGTGTGTGCTTCACTGTAAGCACACTGCTCTGGATGGCTGTGCATTGTGCCCGAGCTAACAGGGAGGAAGACTGTAAACAAAACAGTTTTCCTCCTCGACGGTGATTGTCAGTAATCGCCGGCTGACATGTTCTCGGCTGCGAATGGTGGCGTGGGTAGGGCGCATGCGTGGCTCATGTGCGCCCCCTACCTGGAAGTGCAAAATCACATATTTATATGTGATTTTGTGCACCTGTGCCAACGTGTAGCAGTATATCTGTTATATGGCGGTGGGTAAGCAGTTAAAAGTCCCAGACATTACTAACAGCACCTCCGATTTAAATATGGTTTTGGTTAAAATTGATTTTTTTTTTTTTTTATCAGGACAAGTAGATTGACATGAGTGACAAGTAGATTGGAACACCGATTCAGTCCCTGGACAAGTAGTTTTTAAAAAAAAATTCACACCCCTCTACAATTAATGTTTTATTAAATATTCAGACTAGAACCCTCAAGGATCATAATATTGATGTAAAAAATGATTTATAAAGAGGATGAAGAGTATAAAGTGACAGAGCATCTAGAAGACAGACGTCAAACACAAGGCCTGAGGACCAAATCCGGCCCTCCAGGTCATTTCATTTGGCCCTCAGCTTTGGCACCCCCATCATCTCAGAAATCAGTAGAAGAGAGGAATACAGAACTCCTCCGCCAGATCCTGCACTTCTCCATGCAGCTGTGGAGAGGCTCATCTCTGCAAACCCCCACCCCGAGTTTCACCAGTTGGCAGCAGAGAAGAGGACAGAACTCCTCCTACAGATCCTGCACCCTCTTGTAGCCAACTCCTCTGGTCTCAGCATTCAGCTGACTCCAGCCCTCCTCTGGTCCTCCTCCAGACCCTGCACGTTCTGCTTCCCAGCTCCGCCTCCAGCAGGTAAGGGGAGGTGTGCTGTGATGTAATGGGGGTGGGGTGCTCTGGACATCTAGCTTTACAGATACATCCGGCCCTTTAAGGGCAACCATAATGCTGATGTGGCCCGCCATGAAATTGAGTTTGACACCCCTGATCTAGAACATGGACTTGTGGAAACAATGTATTTTTTAAATGTGATATCACAATTTTGAGGCTTATAATTTACAGATGGCGTTTTTTCCCATTTTCTTGGTTTAGGGTGAAGATCTGATAGATATAAAAGTTGAGGTGAAAGCAGAAGAAGAAGAGACGTATGTGAGGGATGATCAGCAGTCTATGGAGGAGGATGGAATAACGGGGACATTTATAGAGGAGGACACTCCTACAGAGATCAGCACAGGTGGGTCATGAACACTAAATTATTATTATTATTATTATTATACAGGATTTATGGCGCCAACAGTTTGCTCAGCACTTTACAATATAAAGGGAGACAATACAGCAACAATACAGTTCAATACAAGAGGGATAGGAGGGCTCTGCTCCTTGGAGCTTACAATCTAGGAGGGAGGGGCTAGTGCTACCAAAGGTAGTAACTGTGGGGGATGGACTGGTAGGAGGAGTAGAAGATTCCATTATTAGCTGAGGGCGGGATAAGCTTCCCTGAAGAGATAGGTTTTCAGAGATCGCCTAAAAGTGAACAGAGCAGGCGATAGTCTGATAAATTGGGGTAGGGAGTTCCTGAGGATGGGAGAAGCTCTGGAGAAGTCCTGGAGATGAGCATGGGAGGAGGAGACAAGGGAACTAGAGAGCAGGTCAAGTGAGGAGCGGAGAGTACGGTTTGGGTGATATTTAGAGACAAGATCGGTGATGTAATTTGGATCTACATCCAAATCCATTCCTTTACCCATACTGCTCACTGATTGGTCCAGAGTAGGGCGGGGACTGGGTGATATCGGCCTGTAATCCCCTGGTCACTTTCCTGAGCTGGAGTGCGCTTTTAGTCGGATGAGATATGGATTTGTTGTGAGTTGACTTTCACCGCCTTTCTGAAGCGGCTTAATAATCTGATAATGTTTTGGTCATTTTTTGTAAATGTCTATTTTTGCTCTGCACTGTGACACGGGAAACAAACTGCCTTTAGTAGCCAGAACTGCACCTTGCAGGTAGAAGGGGTTAAAATTGCCAGTATGGAGGGAGAGAGGAGGACTTATAAAGAACTACCCCGCCTTGATAAAGATCACCATTTCCCATCGAAACATGAGGGATGTAGGTGACGTCACCCAGGGAGGGGAGTTCTTGTAATATGTTTCCATGAGTCATGTTGTCAGCCAATTCATCTGTGGCCGGGACCCCCACTGACGCCGCTGACTCTCTCTCCTCTCTGCTTTGATCTTATTGAATCTGTAGCTGCACTTGTTTGTCGATGCTGCTTCTCACACTGGACTGGTCTGCCACACACTGGAAACAGCCGACCTGAAGGATAGACACCATCACTGCCTTGCCACTGATTCATATATCTGTGGCAACTATCAATATTTAAAGGGTCCTGCATAGTCCTGACATCTACACACTGATTGATCGATTGATATATATATATATGCGTGTGTGTGTATATATGTATGTATGTGTGTATGTATGTATATATGTGTGTGTGTGTGTGTATATATACAACACATTCTCCCAGGGTTCCTTGCTCTGTGGTCTACTGGCTGTGCCGGGTGGAGGGATATGTCTGTATAGTCTCAGACCCAAGTCACTGAGTGCAGTCTCAGGAGATGGGAGGCAGCGGTGTGGGACCCTCTGCAACTTGTCTACAGGAAACATTTAGGTGTCCACTGATTATTGAATATTATGCATCCTGACCCCTGAAATATATAATTTATGTTGTACATTACATACTCCTGACCCCTGCACTATATACTGTATGTTGTACATTACATACTCTATGTTGTACTGACTCCTGACCCCTGCACTATATACTCTATGTTGTACATTACATACTCCTGACCCCTGCACTATATACTGTATGTTGTACATTACATACTCCTGACCCCTGCACTATATACTACTCTATGTTTGTACATTACATACTCCTGACCCCTGCACTATATACTCTATGTTGTACATTCCATAGTCCTGGCCCCTGCACTATATACTCTGTGTTGTATATTCCATAGTCCTGACTTCTGCTCTCCCCCCTCCCCCCACTGCTATATACACACATAATAATGGATTCTCTTTTGTTACACCCATTTCCTCCCAGAGCTGGACATTTTATATCGGATGATGTGATTGGAGCACAGACTTGTACATGGTGATAATAATGTGATAACATCCTCCAACTTTGGACCCTTAAACAGAAAGTGATAATGAGGGAGGAGTCAATACCCCAATGATGGTGGTCTTCAGGATCAGTCCAGTCTTCATCTTGGTTGTTCTCCCCCCATCCTCACTCTCTGACCTCTGGTGGGGCTCAGCCCCGCTGTTCTTCATGACTAAATCATGGAGTAAATAAGGAAGTGCACTACTTCTTGTGTTGGGAAGATGGCGATGAGTGATAGAGGGGGGGTGGGGACCCTCGTCCTATAATCCCCTCATCACTGTCCCTCCTATAAAAGACAGTTTCTGGTTGTTTCCTCACTCTCTGACTAAGGTCCATGATAAAGAAATGACCTGGTAGGAGATCAGAGGAGCCATTTCCAGTTCCCTTGAGGGTGGAATTGTAAGCTCCTTAGAGGACCAAGCTGCCTGATGTGGGCGGAGTCCTGGTTTGAGGGAACCAATCAGCTCCTGTCTAGTAATCCTCTTTGTCTTTGTATTTTAGTCCATGGCCGGGAGATGAGGAAAACCTCCGAGGATTGTCTCACTTTGTCTCCAGACTGGAAAGTAGAAGATGAGGACATTACACAGTATAGTCCAGGAGAAAACCCGGCTCCCTCCCATGTCCATCCGGCACCACCCAGTGTAGATGGACCATCGGATTCCTCGTATCCTGAGGAACCTCAGACTGTGCGGGACCGGGCCGGCCTTCCAGCAAAGAAGAGCTTCTCCTGTGCTGAATGCGGAAAGAGAGTTTTCCGTTTGAAATCTGATCTTAATGTGCATAAAAGATCTCACACGGGTGAGAAGCCGTATTCCTGTCCTGAGTGCGGAAAAAGTTTTTCAGATAAGTCCATCTTAAAAATCATAAGCGTTTGCACACAGGTGAGAAGCCATATTCCTGCCTTGAGTGCGGGAAAAGTTTTTCAGATAAGTCCTGCCTTTATAATCATCAGAGATTGCACACGGGTGAGAAGCCTTATTCCTGCTCTGAGTGCAGGAAATGTTTTGTACAAAAATCACAACTTGTCACACATCAGAGGTCTCACACAGGGGAGAAGCATTTTCCTGTCCTATGTGTGGGAAATGTTTTTTCAGATAAGTCACATCTTAACAGACATGAGAGATTGCACATGGGGAATAAGCCACATTCCTGTTCTGAGTGCGGGAAATGTTTTTCAGAAAAGTCACACCTTTACAGACATCAAAGATCCTCACACAGGGGAGAAGCCACATTCCTGTTCTGACTGTGGGAAATGTTTTATTCAAAAATCAGAACTAGTCACACATCAGCGCTTGCACACGGGAGAGAAACCGTATTCCTGTCCTGAGTGCGGGAAATGTTTTTCACAGAAGTCCAATCTTTACAGACATCAGAGATTGCACAAGGGGGAGAAGCCACTTTCCTGTCCTGAGTGAGGGAATTGTTCCTCACTGAAGTCCTGTCTTCCTGTACATCAGAGTCCCACACAACCCTGGAGGTGTATTAGTGCCTTGAGTGCGGGAAATGTCTTTTAGAATGAATGTTGCTGGACATCCCAGCTCTCATGTGGGGAAGAAGCACACCCTGATATACACCTCAGATATACTCCATGGCTGATCTTCATCATGGAAGAAACAGTTCATAAGGAGATCAGAGGTCACCAAAGACACGGATGAAGTGTGGGACCGGGTTGGCCATTGATGGCAGGAGAAGAATAAAAATGGAGTCCGTTTCATTGGCTAGTACATTTTGTGGTGGGAAACTTCACAAACACTTAGAGGTCTGTTAATAAAACATTTGTTGGATAAATGTGACAAGCATTTACTGTGTCATGACCAATTCTGTCCATATTTTTATTTATTACCGTAGTTATCAATCTAGTGGCAATTTTTGGTACATTTGTGGTGGGAGATTTCACAAACACTTAGAGGTCTGTTTTTAAAGTGTTACTAAACCCCGGACTCTGCATTCACTATATCCGCTCTCCCCCGGACCCCAAATTCACTATATCTGGTCTCCCCGGACCCTGCATTCACTATATCCGCTCTCCCCCGGACCCCGCATTCACTATATCCGCTCTCCCCGGACCCCGCATTCACTATATCCGCTTTCCCCGACCCCGCATTCACTTATATCCGGTCTCCCCAGACGCCGCATTCACTATATCCGCTCTCCCCGGACCCCGCATTCACTATATCCGCTATCCCCGGACCCCGCATTCACTATATCCGCTCTCCCCGGACCCCGCATTCACTATATCTGCTCTCCCCGGACCCCGCAAATTCACTATATCCGCTCTCCCCGGACCCCGCATTCACTATATCCGCTCTCCCCGGACCCCGCATTCACTATATCCGCTCTCCCCGGACCCCGCATTCACTATATCCGGTCTCCCCAGACGCCGCATTCACTATATCCGCTCTCCCCGGACCCCGCATTCACTATATCCGCTATCCCCCGGACCCCGCATTCACTACATCCGCTCTCCCCGGACCCCGCATTCACTATATCCGGTCTCCCCGAACCCCGCATTCACTATATCGGCTCTCCCCAGACCCCGCATTCACTATATCCGCTCTCCGCAGACCCCGCATTCACTATATCCGCTCTCCCCGGACCCCGCATTCACTATATCCGCTCTCCCCAGACCCCGCATTCACTATATCCGCTCTCCCCGGACCCTGCATTCACTATATCTGCTCTCCCCAGACCCCGCATTCACTATATCCGCTCTCCCCGGACCCCGCATTCACTATATCTGCTCTCCCCAGACCCCGCATTCACTATATCCGCTCTCCCCGGACCCCGCATTCACTATATCCGCTCTCCCCGGACCCCGCATTCACTATATCCGCTCTCCCCGGACCCCGCATTCACTATATCCGGTCTCCCCAGACACCGCATTCACTATATCCGCTCTCCCCGGACCCCGCATTCACTATATCCGCTCTCCCCGAACCCCGCATTCACTATATTGGCTCTCCCCAGACCCCGCATTCACTATATCCGCTCTCCCCAGACCCCGCATTCACTATATCCGCTCTCCCTGGATCCCGCTGACTGGCGTGCCTGACCCTGCGTGCTGGACCCTGACTGGCGTGCCTGACCCTGTGTGCCGGACCCTGACTGGCGTGCTTGACCCTGCATGCCGGACCCTGACTGGCATGCCTGACCCTGTGTGCCGGACCCTGACTGGCGTGCTTGACCCTGCATGCCGGACCCTGACTGGCGTGCCTGACCCTGCATGCCGGACCCTGACTGGCGTGCCTGACTCTGCATGCCGGACCCTGACTGGCGTGCCTGACCCTGCATGCCGGACCCTGACTGGCGTGCCTGACTGCCTGCGTGCCGGACCCTGACTGGCGTGCCTGACCCTGACTGGCGTGCCTGACCCTGCGTGCCAGACCCTGACCTTGCGTGTCCAGAAGTGATGGTCACTGCTGTGCAGCTTTCTGCAGGATTTCTACCAGATTCTCAATAGTTCCAAGGATCGGGAGGCTGATTCTATCCAGGTCCATTGTTACAGCTATCATCTCTCAGAAGAATACCTGGACCTCACACGGGGCAAAGATGAGGATGCGTAGCTGATACAGCCTGTAATGTTGGCGGTTGGCACTGGAGACTGTGTTTATGGAACCCTGTGCCATGATATATTGCCTGGTATTTTCTGATAGGGTGCTATACAGGTCCAGGGCAGTGAACCCCAGCCAGGGCATTGAGACCCTAAAGGCCCCCTGAGCAAAGCCTACCATGATGAGGAAAGATTGAATTCCCTGCCTGGGGAAAGGTCCTGTGGCTAACCTGATGAGTGCCCCTGGCAGCCTAGCTGGTACCCCTGAATGACTAGTTGTCCCCCTTCTCCCCCGTTTCTTGGCCAGTTTTTTGGTAGGGAGTGCAACCCATCTGGTGAGGCTGCATGCTGCTTTGACTTTTTTTGTGGTAGCTGTAGACTGATGTGTTTCCACCGTAGTGCCCAACACACTAGTGTTGCTCGGGGGGAGGACATCCCTGGTGCCTACTGGTGCACAAATGAGCTGTGCTCACCGATCTCTTATGTCACATGGTGTAAGGTTAGGAATTTTTAACCTCGCAAGTATGTAGTATGTTGAGGGTCGTATCTTGACTATTCTCAAAACGGGTTGATATGCAAATGGTCTGGAGTACAATCAAGGGGCAGATATCAACCTTGACAGTCTCTTTTCAGCAACCACTTTCTTCTCATTCCTTGGTGCGTGCCTTTGTGTCATGTGTATTGTTCCTCTGGTCGGACCGCCCTTGTCCCTATGGGATCTCAATTTGGTTCCTTCTGTGTTACAAAAACCCTCTGTTTGAGACCTTTCCTTTAGTTCTTTTGACTTGCACGGTTGTGTTTCTGGTTGCCAATACGTCATCCTCTGTAAGAGGGGCTTCAAGGTTGGGCAAATTTGGTGCCAAAGCACAAGTCCCCCTACTCCCCCATTCCAGTCCTGATAGAACAACGTCCCTTCTGCTGTGGCTGAACCCTTCACCATCTTGTGCCCTGCTCCTTGCCATAGGCCTCGACCCGACATTCCCTGTCATAGACCTATGTCTTCCCAGGGAAGGAATGTCCACACATAAAAGTAGTTTTGCTGCACCTTACTCATGGTGTTCAGGAAACTGTAATACAGTGACATCATATATATTCCAGAGTCACTTGACATCATACAGTCAATCCACATTTAGTGGACGGTCCACCAACTGTGCAGTTGTGTTCAAAATAATAGCAGTCAGACATCACTAACCGGATCAATCACTGTTTTTGGTAGAAATTATATTTCTACATGGCAAATAATTTACTATCAGGTGTAGTAGAGTAATAGAAATCCAACAGACCCAACAGTCATGACATGCATGCTGCTGATTCTGTGTCATTGAATCACTCATTGAAAGGGGCGTGTTCAATATAATAGCAGTGTGGAGTTCTATTAGTGAGGTCATTCATTCTTTGAAAAACAGGTAGCAATTATTGCCCTTATTGAAGGAAGGAAGGCAGCAAATGTTGTACATGCCGGTTACAGTGCATTTCTCTCTGAAATTCTGAGGAAAATGGGTCGTTCCCAGACATTGTTCAGAAGAACAGCGTACCTTGATTAAAAAGTTGATCGGATAGGGGAAAAAACATATAAAGAAGTGCAGAAAATGATAGTCTGCTCAGCTAAAATGATCGCAAATGCTTTAAAATGGCAACCAAAACCTGAAAGACGTGGAAGAAAGCGAAAAACTACCATTGGAATGGATAGAAGAATAGCCAAAATGGGGCGGACTCAGCCAACAATCAGCTCCGGGAAGATGAAAGAAGGTGTAAAGTTCCCTGGGAGGACTGTTACAATTAGAAGACGCCTATGTGAAGCCAAGCTATCTGCAAGAATATATAGCAAACCTTTTCTTCAAACTACTAAATCCCCTTTCATAAATACAATATAACCTAAATCAATTCAAAATAGTCCACCACAAGTCCACACTATTATTGAGTCTTCAAACGTTGAAAATTGTCCCATTCATCACTTCAAATCCAAGAAACCTCAAAAAAAATAAAACTATATATAGTGCATTAACTTTTAACAACAATCAAATATTGTGATACCATGCAAGAAAACACTCGTGAAGAAAGAAAGGAGAAACAATCAGAAAAAAAAAAAAAAATAAATATATATATATATATATATAAATCACTACTTAAAGTGAATCTCACGTGTAAAATTACTAAAATAAGGTGAATGCACCTGCACAGCCTACTCGTGGGGTGAAATCCACAGCAAATAACTAAGCTTGTGAAATATGTGCAAAAAGTGCCAACACTCTAAAAATAATAAATACACAGCAAATGCTCAACTTGTGAATTAATACTAATCCACAATCCACATAAGTGCCACCACTCTGGTAGGGTTAAATACTATTACCCTCTTTCAGCTCAGATAGGCATTACAAATACTCCGGGGGTGCAACAGCTTTCCCCATGCGGATAACTCAATCCATTGTTCCCCGATCCTCATAGGGCAAAGAAGAGCAAGATTCAGTGGAGTGTACAAGTATTAAAACGAATTTATTGCTGCTTACATACATTC